CATATATATATATATCCATATATATATATATATATCAACCCTTGGAATTACATTTGGCAATGACAAATTAATTGCCGACCTAAAAATGTTTGAGGTAGGCAGAAAATTGATGACCTTGTTTCTATGTTTTATGATAACCACTTTGTGTCAAGTTTATTTTGCTAACCAGATGCCAACCACTAACAGTTCAAGGTCGGTAATTTATTGCCAATCTTAAACTGTTAGAGATCGGCATCAGGTCAAGACGAAGACAAGATTTATCTACAACTGATACACTATGTTCTTTTACTCAACTTTCCAAAAAAAACTTTATTGGTCGCCATTATACAGTTCTGGAAACAGTAAAAGATAAGAAAGAAAAAACAATTATGATAACTGATTGGGTTATTGTTCTCTAAGAAAAAAATCAGCTCTCCAACTTTATTAAAGCATATAACATATAAAAACAACATATAAAAATTGCAAATTAAATGACGCTAACAATAAAAATATGAAGTAGAAAAAGGATTTATTCTGAGCTGAATTGGAAAATATATTTGATATAACAGATGGAAATTAGTCAAGAAAATGTACTGTTATACAATTCACAAATTGAATCACATGTTAAAATACGATATGTTACAAGCAAAGATGCTCCACAATTATCAAATTTTGAAGAACGTTCTTTAACATGTCCAAAAATCAGCATTATAAGCTGCACTAAGGAAAATTTTTTTGCCAATGAAAAAGATAGATGTTTATTTTACCATTTTCTTGAATAAATAAACAGAATCTACAAAAATATAACAAAAGTTTTTAAAAGAAATCAGTGAAAACCTAATTTTGTGAAGATTTTGTCTTCTTTTTTGATTTTAAGTAATTTTTTGTACTGAAAAAGGCAATTTTATGTCAAAACTTAGGTTCCTTTACCTTGCTCAGGTTTATTGTAACATTTTCTTGAATGAACCCACAGAATCTATAAAAATATAACAAAAGAATCCAAAAGAAGTCAGTGAAAACTCAGTAGAAAGATCATCATGATAAACATCTTCAACAGGGTCTTATTAAAGAAATATCATATATCAATCAGCAATACTACTATTACCTAGGCAATCATGACAACAAATGAAGAAAAAAAATAAGTATCAAATATACAAATAAAAAATAAAAACTACTGATAAAAATTCTAATATATATATATATATATATATATATATATATATATATATATATATATATATATATATATATATATATATATATATATATATATATATACAGTGGTTTTCATAAATTTAGACGCACTCATATTTGAGAATAGAAATTTTTAGTTTTTTAACGTTAAAACAATGACAAAAAAAGATTTCGGTTTTTGTTTTTTTTCTATTTATCAGATAAATACATACAGAATACAAAATTTAAAAAAAGTTTACAAAAAAAATGAAATACTAAGTAATAATTAGGTACAACTACATGGTATTAAAAAAATTAGACAAAAAAAATTATTCATAAATTTAGACGCACGATACATTAGAAGGCGTAATTTATGAACCAATCAATATTTTGTGTATCCGCCTTTTGCTTTAATACAACTAAGAACTCTTCTAGGCATAGACTCAACAAGATTTTTGCACATCGCTTCTGGGACCCCATACCAGGTCTCCTTAAGGAATTCCTTCAGCTGACCAAGTGTGGAAATTTGAACCTTTGCTAATTCATGATCAATCCAAGCCCAAATGTTTTCAATCGGGTTCAAATCAGGTGAATATGGAGGCCACGGTATTGTCATAATATTATTATCGTTGAACCACTCCTTTGTATAGTATGCAGTATGTGCAGTAGCGCTATCTTGTTGAAGTTTCCATGGTTTATCATTGAGCATAAGCAGGTCAATTGATGGAATTAGGTTGTTTTCCAGTACTTCTACGTATATTCTGGAGTTGATTTTTCCGGTGTATGTTTGGCACATACCAACACCTTTGTAATTGGAAGCATAACCAGATTCCTATCGAGCCTCCTCCACTTTGTACAGTTGGTCTAATGTACCTGGCGTAATACTTTTCGTGAGCCATTCTTTTGACTGTTATGTTAGATTTGCGATTGATAAGCTCAAAGTTACTCTCATCACTCCACATAATGTTTTCCCATTGATCTATTGTCCAATACCTTCTTTCACGACACCATTTTAGTCTCCTTTGTTTATCATATGGACGCAGAAGCGGTTTCTTCAAAGCAGTGTAGACTCCAATCTTGTATTTGATAAGTATTCGGCGGACTGTGCTTTGAGAAATAGATGTATTTCGCGTTGTATTGAATTCTGTAGTCAATTCTTTGTAACTAATTCTTGGATTAGCTCTAACAGCTCTAAAAAGAACACTATCGTCCTTTCTCGTGGTTGACAAGGGTCTACCTGGTCTCGTTTTCTCGCTGGCACCACCAGTGTGAAGAAAGTTTTGTTTCGTTGTCCGAACCCATTTCTCAGAAACTCCAATTAACTTGGCGATTTCTCTATTACTTTTGGTTCCTTCTTTGATGTGCGCAATAATTTGCCATCTTTCACCTTGAGTGATACGTCTTTTGCCCATTTTTTACGTTTTTTTAGTGCAAAACTAACTTAACTTTTGTTTATTTATTAAATAATGATTAACTATTTCCAGGTAAGTCATATTTATATAAGGTTTTTTGACAAAATCAATTTTATTTAGGCCTATTAATGAGAAATATAAGAAAAAAACTACTAATTAACTATCAATTAACAAGATATAAGACTTTTTTAATTGTGCGTCTAAATTTATGAACAAAATAAAATCAAGTTTATCAATTAACTTTTTTGTGTTAATCGGTATAGAATGAGTAATAAACATCCTGTAAAAAAAATTAAGGTACTCTATAAAAGAGTTTCATTTCCTCTTTTAAATTATATATCAAACATAGCGGTAGCACTTTTATTTTATTTTTATTTTGAGTATTTTCTTACATATATGAAAAAAAAAATGAATGCGTCTAAATTTATGAAAGCTACTGTATATATATATATATATATATATATATATATATATATATATATATATATATTTATATATTTATATATTTATATATATATATATATATATATATATATATATATATATATATATATATATATATATATATATATATATATATATATATATATATATATATAACAATTGATAAGGGTTGCTATCTACATTTCTAACAACTCAATTAAAAACAATTGATATCAAGTTGTACGATGATAAAGTTGAACAAATATGTGAAAGAAAAGATGTTAATCAGATGCATTTATAGACAAAACATTGATTACTTCATACCTCAGATGCATTTATAGACAAAAAATTGATTACTTCATACCTATTTCTAATAATGACTATTAAATAACTTTAGAAAAGTCTATATGTGAAAAAAATCTAGGCATTAATTTCTCGGCTAATCTTAGGAAAAAATAACACACAATTGGCTCTGGATCTAAATTAAATTGAGCACTTAGTATGATAAAATGTACTTTTAGTTATATATATAAAAAAACATTTAAATTCTTTATAATACACTTGTCCATCCACATCTTGAATAAAGATTGCTGTATGGTATTCTTACCTTAAAGTAGATACATCTATATATATGTTCCACATATTGGAACAAGAGACCAGCAACTAAGCTAATTCCTTCTCTTAAAAACATGACATGAAAAAAAAACTCATAAGTTTAAATTTAACAAAACTTATATCTCAGTATTTAAGAAATGAATAAAAATTTTTTAAATCATCAATAAAATAGATAGTGTAAATCTAACTTAACATGGATACAGTTTCTCAAGGCAAACAAGTATACAAAAAAATCAGACACGTAAGCACAACTTTAAATACCAAGCTGAACTTACTGAAAGTGCTTCTAGACAAATATTATCTCCTTAATTGAGCAGAAACTGCATGGAATAAATAAACTTGACAAACACCTACAAAAGAACTATAAATAAAGTAACTTATTTTTGAATGGCTGTTTCAATGTGTAAACCACACTAGCTTTATTAATACAGTCACAACTTAATTACAAAACAAGATAATAACAAAATCATTACTGTAACATAAAATTAGAATTAAGTAGTAGAGTCAGTGTATATGTGCCCTTGGTGTGTATCTAAGAAAAATTATGTGTCAATAAAAATTATATGTAAATAATGTGTCAATTAAGTGCAATAAAATTTGTTTGCTAACAAATATATTATTATGTGTCATTCTTTTCTGTAAGTTAATTTAATCAGAGGCCAGCATGAGGGTTTAATATATAACCAAAGACAATATGGGAGACCATAGTTATATGTCAAAAATATGGGAGACCATAGTTATATGTCAAAAAACCTATAGTAGATTAAACTATAGTTATATGTGAAAGCCTATAGTTATATGCGAAAGCCTATAGCCATAGGCTATAGGCTTTCGCATATAACTATAGGCTTTCACATATAACTATAGTTAAATCTACTATATAAGTCATAGTTATATGTGAAAACCTATAGTAGATTAAACCATAGTTATATGTGACCATAGTTATATGTGAAAAATATGGGAGACCATAGTTATATGTCAAAAACCCATAGTAGATTAAACACCTATGCATGGGAATTACATTAGCATTCATAAACCCACCAAAGATTGTCCTGGATCAGGTTCAATCAGAAACCAATGTAAGAAATTTTAACTAATCATATTTCATGAGATTTTTTTGATGAAATAAACATCTGTGACTACAAGTTTAAATTGTTCCCCAATAAAACTCCAAACCATATTTACCTTTCAAGTTTCTGTATTTTGTCTTTAAAATTTGCGAAGGACAGATACTCACAAAAATTACACATACATATTTGTTCATTATTGCAACTACAGTTTGTTTTTCATTAACTCATCGATTAATCACTAATCTATCTTATATGTATTTATATACTATCTATTATATATTTATGAATAGTTTTAAAGCTTTGTATTTAACTAATATATTTTGATTACCTTTTTGGCCAATTCTTCTTTTTCTTCATTTGTAAGGTCTTTTTGCTTTCTTTTTTTTTGCTTAACAAATGAAAGCTCAACAAAACTCTGAAAATATAACATTAATATATATATATATATATATATATATATATATATATATATATATATATATATATATATATATATATATATATATATATATATATATATATATATATATATATATATATAAAGGGAAAGTGGGGGCATAACCGACTCCATAATGTTTAGATTAATGTTATATGAAAATAAAAACGAAATGTGTTTTTTTAACAGTTTATTTCAATAACCACATCATTAAGCTTTAAATTAATGCAATTAAGAAAAAAACTAAACAGTTTTTGAAAATGTTATTACACAAAAATTACACTTAGTGAAAAAAATGGTTTTGCCCCCATTGTGAGGCACAAATGCACCCTCATAAAAATTGTTGGGGGTACACTTTTCTTTATTTTCTTTACAATTGTCACAGCTCAGATTATTTGCTGATTTTGTTGCACGTTTGCATACTGTGTAGACATTCTTTGTACTTACACTCTGAGTTTTCTTATTTGATATACTCTAAGCTTTATTTTTTATTCAAAAACTCATTTATAAAAATTAAATAAAAAAATATGACATCTAAATTCCAACATCTCAAAACAAAACTATTTCTATTCAGCGTTTACATAAACGCATTCAAATGTGACGATTGTTAATATTGTTATTTGTAATTACCTAATTTTGATAAATATTAAAATTATGTGGTTGTGCCTCCTGTGTAACTATGCGGTTCTGCCCCAAAAGACAGTTTTTAAAAAGAATATAGTTTCATAGTTTGCTTTTTAGGTTATTATTATTGATATCAATGGTTTTCACTTGATGAAAAAATGCTGAAAACACATATATTATAAACTCTAAAATCAAATATTGCCTAATCCTCAAAAAAAAAAGGTCTTGAAAAATATGATGTAAATATAATATTTTTATCAAAATAAACATCATTGAAAAATATGATGTAAATATAATATTTTTATCAAAATAAACATCATTATGCACAACTTCTCAGAGATGTAACAGGCACTCTTTTTGTCATCTGCAAAATGTATGAAATTGTATTATAAACGTTGTTTTTTGCCATATTAAATAACATTTTTCATAGGGAAATGTTAAAAAACGGTTGTGCCTCCATATAGGGTTATACCCCCACTTCCCTATATATATATATATATATATATATATATATATATATATATATATATATATATATATATATATATATATATATATATATATATATATATATATATATATATATATATATATATATATATATATATATATATATATATATATATATATATATATATATATATATATATATATATATATATATATATATAAAATACCACATTACATCACAATAAAATTTACTTAACAAATAAAACTAGTTTACATAAAAGTTTAAAAAATTTAATGCCACCCAAGTAGACACTAGCTTTTTTTGCATTTCATTTTTTGTTGTGTTTTTTTGCTCATTTGAAACATCTGATGAATCATGTTTTTTGTAACAACTTGAATACTTTATCACTATTGCGTAAAACTTAAAGCTACGTTATTAAATATATCTAATAAGTTATTAAATAATTAAAGGCAACAAAATAAAAAATTAAAAACAAACAAAACAGTTTAACTTTAAGTTGAGAGGGGTTTAATGCATTCTCCAGTGTTTTTAAAAAAATTACTTTAAAGAATAAGCCAAAAAAAGTTTTTGATGTTGCAAACAATTTTTTGCAACATTTTATTGTCAAAAGAGAACAAACACATGATATGTTTAACAATTTCAGCACAACAACAACAACAACAACAACAACAACAACAACAACAAAAACAACAACAACAACAACAGCAAAATATTGTATTTAGTAACAGGGTAATTTTTTGTAACTGTCAACAAAAAAGCAAATAAAATTTTTGTTTTATGGAAAAATATAAAATTCAACATTATTATTATCATTCATAATAAAAATTTACATTTGATATTTAAAATAATTTTTAACATAACATTTTTAACTAAATAATATATTATATTATAGATAATAAAAATAAATTTTAACTAAAAAAATATAAATATATATATATATATAAAACACAAAAGTTAAAAAAGGACCTGGTACAAATAAATTAAAAGTAATTAAAAAAAAAAAATACTTTTGTGTCTTTTCTTGAAGATCTTTCTCCTTGTAATTTTAAAACATCTATATAATAAAGAATAAAACAAAAAGTAAACAATGGTAAAAAAAAAAGACAAATTTTTGTAAACAGGTATTTACAAACTTTTGAAATTTTATTTATTTATAAAATAATCTTTTCAGGAGTAATCTGCTCTTCCCAGAATTCCAGAGTAATCTCCCAGAATTCCAGAGTAGGACAATTTAAATATAAAAAAATTATTAAAATGAGCCTGAATAAACTAAATTATAATCAAACTAAAATAATTTTTTTTCAACACCTTTGGTTCTGGTTTCAACCCCTCTGGTTAAATACTTTTGATTAAATACAGCTAATTTCTTATGATCTAATTTTAATGACCTATAAACAAAGCTGTGTTACATGTATTTGATTTTGCTTTTAGAAATAACAAAAAATTACTAGGTTTTTTTAATTATTTTTTTTAAATTTGCTAAAATTAAAACAAAAATTGATTTAAATTACGAGTCACCAAAAAAAAAGTGTATATGAAGTGTTATAAATAATTTTATTTCAAGTATCTTTTCTAAAGAGTCAACTTCAAGTAAACCAACGAGAAAACCACCTCCACCCATTTGTCTATATTTTGAAAATTGATTTTTCAGAAGGTTGTGTTAAAACAACTTATTAAAATGCAAGAGTAGCCCTCATAAGGTAAACTATTACAAAAATAAGTAGAACATTTTAACTGTTTCATCGTAGCATTAGCTAAATGTTTGCTAAGAATAAAATATCCAGGCCTTTAACTGCATACTTTTCAATTTACTAATCCACTGCAATAAAGCAGCATAAGATCTAACGTTTTTTACAGTGCCAAACAATTGCATAAATAATATAGTTTAATATATTTTGATATTGAATATTGACCACCAAATATTTATAGAATATAAAAAGTTAACATGAGATAAATCTTGCTTATCATTTCTAAATGTAAAGTTTGAAATGAAAGTTTTGTGTGACTTACATAAATTGCAAGTTTTAATCCTCCTTGTTTTTATAACTGATAAACATTCTTTAATTTCAAGGAAAATTTTAGCTTTATTTATTTCAGTTTGTGGATGAGACTTAAGGGAAAAGATTTGTTTAAACTTACATTTATAAAAATATGGAAGTTTTTTCACCCAAACTCAACCAAACTTTCTGTACATTTCACCATCATTATCATTATCATGTACATTAAAATACAATCTATATATACTTTTCTTTCCTCCAAAAGTAATTTAATAGCTTTTAAGGACTCAATACCTCTCGCTGTTGTTTTTTAAATAGACAATGATGATAGAAGTAATTTTTCTTGTAAAAAATATACAATTGCTTTGAAACGTAGTTTAGAAATAATCAAAAATATTAAACTTTAGAATATATGATGCAAGGTATTTCTAATATTTTTAAGTAACATTGATTTTGCTTAAACCACTTGCAAAACTGAAGCAATTTGTATTGATTCAATAAAGGAAGCATTGTCAATAGACAATAAATGAAAAATAAAAGATAAATATGATAAAAAATGGAAGTTTTTTAGAAACAAACAAGACTTAAAGACTTTATGTTTTTGAAACTGTCTTTCATAAAAAAAATATCTGATTCATATTAAATGCTTGTCACATCTAGTAAGTGACTTTCTTGATGGACCTGGAATAGACAATAACAATAACAGAAAGTGGATAATAATTAATATAATAATAATACAATATAAATAGATAATAATAAGTGGATAACAATAACAGTTGTCATGGAGTTTTTTTTTAACTAATGTTCAGATAAATAGGATTAAGATAAATAAAATTATAAAATCTTTAATCTTTAAAACCATTAGAAACTTTGAGTCAAAGGCACAACAAAAAATTAAACAATAAAACCAATACAACTATTTCTTTCTCCCAAATGAAACCAACAGCATAGCTGTAACTAGTAAATTTACCTTTACCTAAAATTTAAAGGTGATGTTGGTGATTGAATTTTGATGATGTTGGTGATTGGATGATAGGTGATGCTGGTAATTGGATGATAAGTAATGTTGGTGATGCTTTTATTTGTTTAAATCATACTAATGTATCTGATTGTTAACGAGTTAACATTTTTAAATACTTTCTGAAAATTTTTAAACTATTACTATATAAAACATACCATTTACCTATATTTAAACATAACTATTACCATTAAGTAACTCTTCAAAAACAGCTTTATCTTTCTCTGTAGCAGTTGAATAGTCTTCACCTTCAAACTCATAAATATTATCTGGAAAACATCAAAATAGGATTTTCAAAAAATATGAATAAATGCACATTCTACAAAATCTCAATTAAAACAATTAAAATAATAAATTAACTTTGGTAACAAAAGGTAATAAAAACGTTTTTTTAAAAACCCAATAATTGACGGAGTGGAAATCTGATTATAGATTCTTTTAAATAATTGCAATTTTCATTCAGATCAGCATTTTTCTAGGTAAAATGCCTCCAACAAAGTGCAGTGAAAAAAATCAGAGAGCATTCTAAAATTGATCTTTTACAGGTAGTAAATATTCTCATTAGAACACATTTTTTGAAACAATTTACAAATAAATAAGCAAATATTAATTTACAGGGATAGCAAGAAATAAACTTTATACAGATTTTTTGCATATTTGGGAATATTATAATATTTTCTCCTTCTGCGCCAAAGATCTTTTTTTTTTTTACCAAATTATTTTATATCAACACCTGTTTGAAACCTATTTACCCTGATGATGCCAACATTATTTTTCTAGAATACTAGAAAACCTTGGCTCCTATAACAAAATATCCTGTTTGAAATTTGAATAATCAGAGAAAACTGGGCAGTTTAACAATAAAGTTTATTTTAAATTATAAATAACCTTGCGAACGACTCAGCGTTTTTTAGCTACCTAATAAAAATCCATTGTAAATGCCATCAACATTGTTATTATTATAAATAAAAAAAATAAAAAGTAATACAATTGCAGAAAATATGTATTTATTAACCTTTAACTTCACTATCTTCATTTGATTCTACTTTCACATGCTGAGTTTCATCCACACTAAACCATTGACTTTCATATGTTTTACCTAAGACTCTATGCAGCAATTATTATATTAGAAAATAAATGAAATTTTTTGTGCAAATAGTAACATAAAGCAATAATTTTGATTTTAAAGGAATAATTTTAATTTAAAAAAGCAAATACTAAAACAAATCAAAATCAAAATTTGGTTTTATATTTTTAAGTTTATGGATTGATTTTGAATACTGTTTTTATAAATATATTTATAAAAACAGTAATAAAAATCAATCCAAATTGTGTTTGTTATATAAAAAATATGCAGGATGGAGAGAGACGATTAAAGAGGTGAGAGAGGAGATTTATGAGAGTTGGGAAAGTGATGGAAGGTAGATAGATAAAATAAACAAAGATGGGTGAAAGACAAAAAAAGAAAAAGAAACTGTGAGTGATGACACAAATACTTCTAATTAAAACTTTAGTATAAAAAATTTTCCTGATAGAAAGATGTTCAATCACATAAAATCACAACCATCGGCTATAATACATAACCAAATTTAAACAGTCTTCGGAATTAGGAAATATAAGGTTGGCAAAAAGTTGCCGACCTAAAAGGGTTTTAGGTCGACATCAAGTTGGCATAAAATTTAGAACCAGAGCTTGACAAATCAACAAACGCAGTAAAATTCAGCATTTACAGTAAAACAAATCATCAAATGTCACTGTTTGCTTAAAAACTTGTAAAAATGAATGCATCATTTTACCATTTTATTATAAATTTAAATAAAAGATAAACTTAGCCGATTTTATTATTATTATAATTTAGAATTAATAAAACTTTTTTGTTTCCGCTTTTGCTTTAAATGTTTTGTTTATCATATAAATAAGAGGTTCACATTTAGAATTAATTAAAAAGTTTGTTTTTTATCATTTTTACTTAAAGTATTTTATTCATTTATAATTGAATAAAGCGATTGCTCTTCCGTTGATTTTTCAAAAAATTTAATTCAAGAGTTAGTTAAAACCTTCGTGTTTTCATTATTAGTTTAATTATTTTATTTTGAATTTAAATAAAATATTCTTTATTCCACTTTTATTTTAATCGTTTTGTTTACTATTTAAAAAAAAGGTTCACATTTCAAATTTTTTTAAAACATTCTTCTTTCTATTAGTTTTTTGTAAAAATATTTTTAGAAGTTAATTAAAACATTCGCTTTTTCATTTTAATTTTAATCATTTTATTTAGGATTTAAATAAACTTTGTATTGTCATTTTTGTTTTAACTCTGTTTTTAATTTTAATCTTATTTCTAACTCAATTTTCCAAATCAAGCCTCACTGTTCTCCATGGTTTTCATCACATTGTGCTGCTGCAATTTCCAATCGAAACCATTACTTCCATATCTATCACCAAAACAATTCTCCACAAAACAGATGTCTGTTTATTACTGCTAGAAACCATTGTAAAAAGGATCTGTCTAATGTCAAAGTCTGCTCTTGTAACTTTTGGAGAAGCTTTAATAGTATCAATAAGGGCAAATCTGTAATTCTACCTCTCTTGTATGGTTCAGACTTTGTCACGTCACCTAAAGACAAAGATGAACTGTTTGCTAAGAACCTTTCATCAACACCATCTGTTGATTCTACTAGTTGCATTCTACCTGCTTTAGCCATCAAACAGGTTGATTCACTGCTTGACATTCGTATCACTCCAGCTTCTGTATCTAAAGTGATTTCCTGCTTAGACTGTTCTACAGCTTGCGGCCCAGACAACATACCCGTTATAGTTTTGCAGAAGTGTTCTCCGGAGCTGTCGGCTATCCTTTCAAAACTATTTAACAAGTGCTTATCAGAGTCTTGTTTTCCAACCTGCTAGAAAGCAGCTTCTGTATCTAAAGTTTATCCATTGCTTGACATCCGTATCACTCCAGCTTATGTATCTAAAGTGATTTCCTGCTTAGACTCTTCTACAGATTGTGGACCAAAGAACATACCTGTTATAGTCTTCCAGAAGACAACATACCTGTTATAGTCTTCCAGAAGACAACATACCTGTTATAGTCTTCCAGAAGACAACATACCTGTTATAGTCTTCCAGAAGACAACATACCTGTTATAGTCTTCCAGAAGACAACATACCTGTTATAGTCTTCCAGAAGACAACATACCTGTTATAGTCTTCCAGAAGACAACATACCTGTTATAGTCTTCCAGAAGACAACATACCTGTTATATTCTTCCAGAAGACAACATACCTGTTATAGTCTTCCAGAAGACAACATACCTGTTATAGTCTTCCAGAAGACAACATACCTGTTATAGTCTTCCAGAAGACAACATACCTGTTATAGTCTTCCAGAAGACAACATACCTGTTATAGTCTTCCAGAAGACAACATACCTGTTATAGTCTTCCAGAAGTGTTCTCTGGAGCTGTTGTCTATACTTTCAAAACTATTTAACAAGTGCTTATCAAAGCCTTGTTTTCCAGCCTGCTGGAAAACAGCATCTGTTATCACTAATTTCAAAAATTCTGAAGAGCAATCTGATTCGTCTTACTACCGTCTCATTAATCTTCTTCCTATCACAAGTAAGGTTTTTGAATCTTTAATTAACATCTTGAATTTAATAACTTACTTTCTGATCATCAATATGGATTTTGATCTTCTCATTTTACAGCTGACTTGCTAACAGTAATAACCGGTAGGTTTTATTGTGCCTTAGATAAAGGTGAAGAGGTTAAGACCATTGCTCTTGATATTTCTAAAGCTTTTGATAAAGTTTGGCATGCTGGTCTTCTCCATAGGCTTTCTTCTTACGGTGTATCTTAAAGTGTATCTTCAAGATTATTGAATCCTTCCTTTCCAATCATAGAATAAAAGTTGTCCTCAATGGACAGCACTCTTTTTCATATTCTGTAACTGTAATAGGGGGTTCCTCAAGATTCAATCCTTAGCCCTATACTCTATTTAATTTACATTAACAATCTTCCAGATTTTCTCATATCTAAAGTGACATTGCTCACTGATGATACTACCATTTATTCTTGTCATGATAAGAAGCTAACATTCTCTGATTGCATAAAGGGGGCATTTGAGCTTGTAAAGAATCTCACTTCTGCTACAGCATGGGGTTCACGGTAGCTGGTGAACTTTAATTCAGAAAAAACTTAAGTTTTTTCAGCCAATCGTTATCGCAATAGTTTAGATCTTCCTATATTTATGAACTGTAATGTACTCCCTTCATCTACTAGAATTAACTCTTACTTCCAATCTTTCTTAGAAACCATATATATTAAATCCGTTGCAAAATTAGCATCTGCTAAGGTTGAATATCTTTATTGAGCTCGACACTTTCTTACTCCGTATTCCATCCTCTATCTCTATAAATCTCAAATTGGGCCTTGTATGGAATACTGTTGCCATATCTGAGGTGGATCTTCTAATGATGCCCTTTCTCTGTCAGACAAGATGCAAAAATGCGTTGTAAACATAGTTGGACCTGCTCTTGCAGCTGACCTCCAACCATTATCACATCGCCATAATGTTGCTTCTTTTTCTCTTTTCTACAAATAAAATAATGGGTACTGCTCTAAAAACCTAGCGTCTTGTGTCACCTACTAAAATTCATTCTCGTGTTATTTGTCATTTAATAGAGTCTCATTCTTTTTCTGTGACTGTTCCTAAATGCTCCAAAAACTCTTATTCCTCTAATTTTTTACTCAAACATCAGTTTTTTAAAATTTGCTTCCTTAATCTTGCTTTCCTGATTCATATAATTCGCAATCTTTGAAGTCATCTCAATTGTTATCTTGCTCTACCATCTTCATCCTTTCTCTTCCAGTAACCTTCAACTCTAATAGTGGTTGCTTGTAGCCTTGTTGGAAGCAAAGATGTTATTAAAAAAAAAATTAACTTCTATTCAGAATTTAAATAAAAAGTTGTATATTACATTTTTATTTTATTTATTTTTTATGCATATGATTAACAATGTTCAAGGAACATGTACATATTTGTGCATTGTTTTTATATGCTATATCATAATTAAGTTTAAGAAACCAAAGTTTAAAACTGTATTAGATAATATTATGAGATTTACATAAAATTTTAAATCTGCAATAAACAAATTACAAGATAAAAATTGTGCGCAGAAAAACAAGTTAATCAACTTATTTCTTCGAGCAGCGGCCTTGTTTGTCAAGGTTCGAGTTATACAGTTGAGAGAGGGTTATAACCACAACTAAGTAGGCTCCTCGTCTGTAAAGGCCACTACAGACCATTAGAAAAAACTACCAGACCTAATTAATGCATTTTGAAATGAATAGTTATTTCAATGTTATTATAATTATTTTTTCATTACTTCATGGTCATTCTTCTTCTGAGCAAAATACCAAAGAGATCAATCCCTACCATAATCTTTAAACTATTATGCACAACCTGCTTCAGCATCTTTCCATGTCAAGATTCGTGTTTCTTGATTAAAGTGTTAAGAAAAGGAGCAATTAAAAAAATAACAACAATTTAAAAAAAAAACTTGAGTTTTTAGTAATGAAAAGCAGGGTGGTGCATAAGTGGAGTGGTGGGTTGGAGTGAATTAAATGAAATCATAAACATAATTTAGTAGAAAAAAAAAAGTATAGAAACTTTTATTGATTAGCATCTATGTAAATTTGTTTACAATAACTTTTTAAATATTACTAAACTTTTACAATAATAAATATATTATATTTATATATTTTATAAATTTATATACTATAATTAATTATAGAAACAAATAAATTTTTTCTTACAGAGATAAACACTTACTTTTCGAAATCAATTTTCTCATACAAACTAAAAAGAAGACAAGGTATTCAGCTTTCACACTTTTTAAATTGCACCAAAACAATACAACTATTAATTCGCAACTTTGATAAATATAAAATAAAAAAATTTTTATCAGCTATAATACATAAAATATAAAATATAAAATAAATTTTTTTTATCAGGTATAATACATAACAACATTCAACAATTGTTTTTCAAACCTCTGGTTTGAAAAAGCAGAGGTTTGAAGAGATAAGTAAAAATTTTAAACCTCTGGTTTGAAAAAGCAGAGGTTTGAAATTGTTACTTATTGTTATCTATTTAATAAAAAAATTTTATATAAAAAAAACAACAACTAAAAAACATTAATGCAAACTTAAATGCATTTTTTTAGTTGATTGTTCTCAATATTTTAAAACATTGACTATTTATTTTGTTCTCAATATTTTAAAACATTGACTTTTTATTTTGTTCTCAATATTTTAAAACATCGACTATTTATTTTGTTCTCAATATTTTAAAACATTGACTATTTATTTTGTTCTTAATTCTTTAAAACATTTATTTATTTTGAGACATCCTTTGTATAGTTCTAATGTAAGATTTTCTCTTTTTTGTAACTTTTTATTTTAAATACAAAAATTTTAAATACAAAAACTGCCACTTATTAATTATTTGTATTTTATTAATTTACTATTAATTGCTAAATTCTCCCCACATTTTTGAAGTTTGTTTGTGGCAAAGTAAAATAAATATATATTAAAATTTCAAAGTAATAATTTTATAAAAAACATCTTTTAAAAAAAAAAATTTTTTCCATACCTGTCATCTGAATTCATTAGATCTTGCAATCCATATTTCAAAATGTCTCCAAGCTAAGAATTAAACTTAATTAGAGTTAAACTTTTTTAATTAAAAACCAATTTTTCAAAAAAAATTAAATTGTTTCTTTTTTAAATATCTAAAACCTTCTATCTTTACATACATACAGGTTTTGAAGTTTTTTATGATGTGATAAAGAAAATGTCTGAATACATGTAAAATATCAAAAGAATGGTTATATAGTTATAAACACTGTTGTGTTTCTTCTTTCTTCACCTTTTCAAGATGTAAAAGGTTGCAATTGATTTTTCACTCCTTTTCAAGATGTAATTGAGATCTTGAAAGTTGTAATTAAGAAAAGTAAGATGTAATTGAGAAATACAACATGTAATTTAGAAGTCGGTAAGAATGCGGTAGTGGTGTAGTGGTAGAGCGCTCGGTTCATAAACGAGTGGTTCCGAGTTCAATCCCCACCACGTCCCTGGTAGTACCGCGCTCAACTCGTTTCTCCACGCAGCGGCCTTGTTCGTCAAGGTTCGTGTTTCGGAGTTACAGAGTTGAGAGAGGGTTATAGCCACAAATAAGTAGCCTCCTCGTCTGTAGTGGCCTTCTCGGCCTTGAGGAGGTGAATTAAAATTAAAAAAAAAAAAAAAAAAAAAAGTCACAATATGTAATTAAGAAACACAACAAGTAATTAGGAAATTTTAAAATGTAATGTAATGTAAGAAATCGCAATATGTAAATAGAAAAACATAATTTGTGATTAAGAAATTGTAATATGTAAATGAAAACACAATATTGGTAATCGCAAATTCACAATGTAAGCTTAAGGTCATTATAAAAGATCTTCTCGGACATTTTAATTGCATTTTAATAAGTTAATAATATCAAATTTAACATTTGTATGCACCAGCAATACAGTAATACAGTAATGGAATTATTTGTGTTTTATTATTTATCTGAAATCTTAATTAAATTTTTCACAAATAAATATGAAAAAAAGTTTTAAC